GGTTCTGGGCAGCTGCCAGCAATCCCTCATGTCCCTGGTCTTGGTCGCTGGCAAGATGCAACACCAGCTCCACCTGGAGGGAAGGGTGCTCAGCTGCCACGCTGGTGACCACCCCACCTGCAGAAATCAGAAGGCAGGAAACCAAGAGCATAAGGGTGTCTGGGAGGGACCACTGTGGGATGCAGTAAATATGGGAAGGGGGAGTCAGACTCACCACGGCCTCTCGGCTCTCCAGGTCTTCCAGGATGCTGCTCATGGGCCGAAGCACCTCCTCCTCCTCCCTGTCCTGTCCATCTCCTATGCGGGGTGGTCAGAGGAGCCCTCAGCAACGCAACAAGGAAGGTAACAGTGGGCCCACCTCTGCCCCCACCCTCACTCTGTAACCCTGGGCCAGCCCTTCCCCAGAGGGAAAAGAGCAGCTGTTTTTGTATTTTTTTGAAGAACCAAGGTCTCACTATGTTGCCCAGCTGGAATCCCACTACCACCAATCAGCACGGGGAGTTCTGACCTGAGCCAGTTCACCCATCCGTAGGCAACCCTGGTGCTCCCCCACTCCCAGGAGTCACTATATTGATGCTGAACTTAGTGCAGACACCCAGTCGGCACAATGACCAGCTGGTCTAAAGGTCTCTTCCAACTCCTCAATCCTACGCTGCCAACGGTCCCCCGTTCTTCCTGGGGGCTCTCTCCTCTTCCTCTGAGCGCTCTTCCCCTACCTTCCCGAGGGAGAGCCATGAGGCTGAACTGCGCCTGTAGGTGCTGGTTCTGGATGGCAGCTTCCGCGTGCTCCTAAGGGGCCAGGAAAGAGAGTGAGAAGGCAGGAGATTGCCAGGCTGTCCCCCTCAGGGCCCTGCCTTCAGCAACTCCCTCATTTAGGTCTCCTGCAGCTGTTGGTGCCACCTTGGCCAGAGCTTTGCCCTGAGCTTCCTGCTGCTGCAGCTGGTCCACAAGCTGAACCTGCAGCAGTAACTGGCTGCGCAGCACCTCCTTGTCAAAGGTCAGCTGCTGAGAGGTGGCCACGTACTGCTGCAGGAGACCCAGGAACTAGTCTGGCTTCTGCGGATGTAGACTCTGAGCCTCTTCAGCTCCACCAGCAGGATAGGCATCAGGGCAGGTACTGGCTAGCTTCCAGATTCTAGGCCTATAACGTAGCCAGAACACTGTGGGGCTCTGTCACCTGCACAAGCCCCTAGCCCCTTGCTCCAGGACTAAGTGACTCCCTCCCCAGCCTCAAATCTCACACCCTTCTTCCCACCATTTAAACTGTAGGCCACAGACTGGTGGAAAAGCAGAGGGAGCCAGCCACCACCTGCCAAGTTGTGATGAGGTCGACCTACAGGGTGTCCAGGGTTTGCACACGCCTGTGCCTGCTGCCCTAGAGCTCGGCCTTCCACCGCATTTCCTATAGCGTCTCCTTCAGCTCCCGTAGCCTCACCTCCT